GGTGTGTTAATAGCAAGCGGCGGGCTGCGTTGTGCAACTGATGTATTCCAAGGGACAGGGAGAAACGGCCTGTGCGGATAGGTTGGGAACGCGCCTTGCAGTGCGGAGAGGATCTTCCCGGCTCCGTTAGCGGTCAGGCATCCCTCTGCCCAGCATCTCCAGTCCCTCTTGTCTCATCTGAATCCTGCTGCCTTACCCACTGCCCTTCCGCATGAGGCAGGGCCCTGAGTGCTGCCTGTGCCAATGGGAACAGTTAATCACATCCGTGTGTCATCTTCCCGTGTTCCCTGGGCCCATTAAAGCGTAATGGTCTTGTTTTTCCAGCCGCCTCTGCCGTGCCACGTGCTGCGGGAAACAGGACAAACGGGAAGGGTGGGAATTGGAGGCTGGCGCCTCATGGCGCGTGGCCCTGCCGCGTTCCCCAGCCCGGGCAGGAGTCCGGGGGTGGTCAGCAGTGCCCAGCGGGAAGCTGTCACCCTGCAGCATGATGCAGCTTCTCCCAGAACACCGAGGTCCCCGCGTGCTTAGGAGACACATCTTACAGAGAGGTGCTATAAATACAAGCGAGTGGTAGGTATAACATGGTTATATATTTGGGGGAGGTAGCCATGCTTTTGTTTCTTGTCACTCTTTTGCAAGTGGTGTTGCAACACTGGGAGTGTGTGTTACCAGTGAACGTAGAAAGAAAACTGTGGCAGTTTTGGGGGCAGAGGAAGAGCCAAGCCAGCAAGCGGCACGGCAGGAGGAGCAGGTCAGGTGGGTGGCGCAAGCAGACCATTGCAATGCAGGGTGTGTGGACAGGGAAGAAAGATCAAGGGGCAGGAGTAGCTGTGGATCAAAGGCTTGTTGGCAGCTGTGAAGGGTATCATCCTGTCACTTAGGCAGGGCAGATGAGCACTAACAGATCCTAACCAGTCTTTGCATTATAGAGTGGTTGGAGAAGTCCTCAAGTCCTGGTTTGTTTTCTGTTCAAGAAGAACTCATTGTCTTAAAAGATCGTTGCTTTCAATACGTCTTCCCATAGTACAGGCGGCACCGGTCTGCATGTTGGTGGCTGCTATTGAACCTGCCCTAATTCTCAGAGGAATTGTATTTTTCCAACACCATTTATCCTGGCATAGGTGACAAAATGGAGACTCCCAGAAGCTACCATAAGCTTTTCCACTGAGTCATTACGTGACCCAAAACAGTCATGTTGTTGTCTTGTGACACAGTGTCCCCATGAGAAACTGCTGATGTTGGTTCTCCTTTGAGAATCCCAAGGGCTGCTTAGGAGTTAAAATTTGTATTGTAAAGTCTTCGTTTGGATTGGTGTAGTATCTAGGAGTTTGGAGGAGAGGTTGGGGGCCTCTGGAAACAGTTTTTCGCCTATTCCTGTGTTACAATAGTGAGTGCCTTTGAATAAAATTGTCAGGAGCAAGGAACACAAGAAATAGTGCTGACCACTGTACTGGGATCATTCCTGGTGAAATGCTCTACTGGGTTGCACTAACAATGCCAGGCACCCAGACTTTCTGATCCATTTCTTCCTTTCATTCCTGGGTCAGGATGCTGTTTCCTCTGCCTCTGCGGGTAGCCTGCAGCCTGCTTGCTTGGCTGTGTCTCTACGCTTGGTTCTGCCATCGCTACAAGCACCGGGATTATGAATGGAGCTGCAGGCTGGTCACCCTGACCCATGGCATCCTCGCTACCTGTCTCTCTGCTTATATTGGCTTTATCGATGGTCCCTGGCCTTTAACTCATGCAGGTATGTAATAAAAGTCGTGGTCCCAAGTCCACTGATGGCACAAACTGGGATTTTTCCTATCACCCTGTAGCCCACATCCTTGAGAAACATTGACTGTAATAGTCTGTGGGATTCTTTGTGATGGAAAGCAATAGAGCAATGAAGAAGCTGGTTTCGCGTTTTGCTTGCATGATGGCCCTCCTCACCCACAGTCCAGCCAAGGGTGTCATCACGCTGTGTGGGCACTACGTGTGTGCAGCTGTTAGGCTTACAGATACAGTATTATGACTTCTCTGACTTGTGCAGCTGAGCAGTGGTCAGTGCAGGATAATTTCTGCCTGTCAGTGCTGGAAGTGAGTGCCCTTTTTCTGCCCCACATCCTGCCTGCTTGTTACCTCTGTGCTTTAAAGCTCTGGCTGATGTCTTTCTGTTTCAGGTTCGCCAAACACAATTCTTCAAGTGCATGGGCTGTGCCTTAGCTTGGGCTACTTCCTCTTCGACCTCTTTTGGTGTGTGTACTTCCAGACGGAGGGTGCCCTGATGCTGGCCCACCATCTGGTGAGCATCTTGGGCATCACAGCGTCCTTGGCACTCGGCGAATCAGCCGCTGAGGTCAACGCCGTCATCTTTGGCAGCGAGATCACTAACCCGCTGTTGCAGGCCCGCTGGTTCCTGAGGGAGATGGGCTGTTACCACAGCCTCACAGGCGACCTCGTGGATTTCTTCTTCGTGGTTCTCTTCACGGGGGTGCGGATTGGAGTGGGGGCCTGGCTGATGTACTGTGAACTTGCCTCTCCCAAACCCAGGTGGTACATTAAGTTGGGTGGCGTGATCATGTATGCTGTCTCCTGGGTTTTCATGGTCAGCATCTGTCGCTTCGCGAGGAGGAAGAGCATGAAGAAGTACCACGCTTGGAGGAGTCGCAGGAGTGAAGAGTTGTACTTCAGAACAAATGGACATTTGAAAAATCACTGAGTGGATGCCGAGCACAACCTTCCTCGAGTTCATAATCTGGCAAGGAGGGAATCATGCCTGAAATGCCACTGTCGGGAAAGGAGCCAATGCACGTTAGCAGTTCTGGAGCCAAATTTCTCTCTGGCATAACTCCATTGAAATCTATGGAGCTATGCCATGGATTCATGGGATCTGCACTGTTTGGCCTGGCAGGGGCTGGCTCCATGTGTATATAAGTATAAACTAAATGATATTAGTGAAATAAGGGCTAATTTTACAGACTAAACATTACTAGGTCAGCAGTGCAGGTGTAAATAGCAGTGTTAGTAGCTAACTCCTTCAGCACTGGTACAGTTTTGAAGGATATGAGGAAATAACACTAAGTCTTGATGTTCAGTGTTTGGTACAGTCTAGGGTGACTGTGTTTATGCTCTTAGGAAGAAACATGTTCTAGTGTTTCGTGCGATTTGGGCAGAAGTAGCAATTGGGGTTCCTGGCTCTTCCACCAATTTGTTCTGTGACCTTGGGCAAGTCACTCTAACTCTGTGCCTAATTTCCCCATATTTGAATTTGGGGTGACGGACCTGACCCATCTGTGCTATGCACTTTCAGACCTTTACTTGAGAGGTGCTGTATTAATGCAAAGTGATGGTGGTTACCTGCACTTTGTTCATTATCCCTACATTTCCTCTGGGAGAAATAATTTTGGTGGTTGAGCTAGCAGGTGACTTTAGCAGGGACAGTGTTTTAGGTAGGCCTTTATTTGCAACCTTTTATAATTGCTTTTAATAACTTATTAAATAACTTACAATTTTTTTTGGTAGCGCCCAGACGCTCTAATCAACATTGGCACCTTGCAGGACTAGGTGCTTTATGAATACACCCAAAGAGACAGCTGCTGACGTGAAATGCTTTTGTGACTTTCCCCTTGCTTCATTAAGAACTATTAAAATCTTATCTAGCCCTTCGACATACTGCCCTGAGCCCCTTGAGGGACCAGCACTCTCCCTTAGGAGAAGTCCCGTCAGCATTTGCCAGTAAATGGTTCTCTGGCTTGTAGGCCTCAAACATGGGCCAAGCACTGATTCGCCTGCAGAATGCTGAATTTCCCCTCTGCTGTGTTTATTGACCCAAATGCAGGCAGAGTGTGGAGCAAACTTGTGACCGAAGGGAGATTGCAGGGAAATACTTTCTTGAAGCTGCAAGTTGCTTTTTAAAATGAGAATAGTGAAGGATATTACTGCAGCGAGTGCTTTACTGCAGCAATCTGGAAACAACCTGTACTTGCTGTTTGCTGGGAATAGTGGTAACTGTCCGTGAAACCTGGGATCTGTGTGGGAAAAGGATTGGAGAGATGAGGGGGGAGAAAAAAAAGGCTTGTTTGAATATAGCATTGTTGTTTTTCCCAGAACTGTAGATACCACTTTCAACAAGAAAGTTTCTTCAAATCCAAGTTGGGATTTCTGGTCGAAAAGCAGCAAGTGTACATCTTCAAAACATGGTGTTAAGGTGGAAGGGCTACCCTCCTTCAAGGTCCTTCCTCTGCCCTGTTAAAGCCAGAGACCTCATCTTGACTTTCCTGCATCGGAAATGATGACTTGACATCCCCCTCTCCCAAACTGGATCTGAGTCATTTCAAAAAAGTGAAGACATATGGGGTAAGAGAGAATTATTTTTCAGCCTGGTGAGTAAAGAAGTGAACCTAACTAGGGAAACAGATGAGTATTACTTATCTGGTCACCTTAGCAGAGAAAAACTGCCCCCCAATTTGCAGCTACTGTTATTTATTTCACTGTATGTTCTTAAGCACTTTTACTTTGCTGTTGTTATTTAATGATAACTCTGAGCTTCAGCACACGGGTTCCAGTGCAGCTCAGATTGCAGTTCTGCTGTGGGCCTGGCCTGTTGCAACCAAAGACCTGACGAGCCCAAAGGGCTGCAGACTCAGAGCCAACCGACAGGTGAGCTGATCCTTAAAAGGGAACTTGACTCATTTTGCACAGTGTTGTGATGGAACTGTTGAGCCTTGAGGGGAGATGAGAAGGGCTAGCTGAGACTTGCTGGTTCTTCCCCAGCTCCGCTGTGGGCTGTGTCAAGGAACCTTTCTGCCTCAGCTTACCCACCTTAATGGGTGCAGTATTTGCCTACCTCGTGGGGTGTTTTCATTTGTTAACACTAAGCCATTTTTGATATATGCTTGGTTGTCTCTGTCAGGCTGTGCTTTGCTTTGAGCAAAGGACTTCTCATTATAACCTGTGATCATTACTTTCCAACCTGAACTTGGCGCTTGCCAGCACCTGATTTGCCTCACAAGAGCGCGAGTCCAAGAGGCTTTGCAATGGTGCTTAACAGGCAGGAGTCAAAAGAGCAAGCTAGATGTGTGTCTGAGGGTCAGCCCTGCTGCCTGGTGTTCAGGTGGACTTCCAAGTTAAAGACAGGGGGTCCGGTGGGTTTTCTCAACTAAGCACTGCAGGACTTCTTGGAAAATTTGCACTCTGACCTCTGGTGCAGTCAATGTGCAGCTGAGTGTGTAGTTACTGATCTTCTATGCAGGGACAGTAACTTACAACAGTTAAGGTGACTTCAGGTGTGTGTGAAACACACACCTTGTGTGAGAGCGTATTAGAAGATATTACACTTAACAGTGGAGTGGTTCCTTTCGTCAAACTGGAGGGAACTTGGTTGGAAGAAGCAGAGCGCTCTGATCAATGCTCAGGCTTCAGATTCTAAACAAGGATACCAGAAAGCAAAAGGGCAGAAAAGAAGGGCTCTGAGGGGGAGGAAGCAACAGCGCCTCAGAGCAAGGCTTGGTAGTTTGAGAAGTGGGATCGAGTACAGAAACCTGGGGGTAGCAAAAAAAACTTGCAAGCTGAGTGGAGCAGTGTAGGGGCCCTGTCCTCAGGCTAGTGATTAGAGCCAGTTGTGGAAGTAAACTGCAGAGCTAGTGTGAAATGCTAACTTGTGTTTGAATTACTGTGTAATAGAAACTAATGTTCCACCAGTGAATGGTGTAGATGCTTTGTATTATGTTTTATAAAATAAAATTTCTTCAATGGTAATGAAAAACTGGATTTTCTTCTTTTGATGGTGTTCTTGTATAAGTCATATGTGGAATGACTTAGCACTGGGATAGCTACCAATACACACAGGACACTTACGAGTAAGAAGTGATTTAGAAAGTTCTTGCACTCCTTTTAAAAGCACTTCTTTGAAAGGGTATCCTAAAAATAATAATAATAAAAAAGGAAGCATTTCTTCCAGAGCAATGCTTCTTTTCAGTGGGCAAAATAAGAGATCCAGACACGGACAAGAATTTCTGTGGACCAATTACTGTGCAAACCCAGAAGCAAAGAAAGGCCCAAGACCAAATCAGCAGTTCTGAAAATACATGTAGCCAAGTCTCACTCAGGAAAGATTGGTAGTGTTCTGTGCTGTGTTGGTAAAGAAGAGCTAAGCTGCCTTGCTCGTGGTCGCAGCATTTTGCCAGACGGCTAGCCTGCCAAAAGTCTGTTTCCATAAATAGTTAAGCCAATTTGGTTGTTTGGATGTAACCCTTAAATCTGCCTCCGGCTCCTCGAGCACTGGGGAGCTGTGTAGCACTGAGCCCTCCAGAGATGCTGGCTTATTTTACGTGCCCGGGGAAGTCCCTGTCTTGGGGACTGCACTAGCTTTATCCCAGTGTGTTGTTTAACCTCTAAGGTAGTCCATAAGCAGAGAAAAGAGTAAAGCAGCATTCAAAAGGTTTGCCTTGGAGCTGCAAACCTTCAGGGTACGTCATGTCTTTAAGAACACCACCCCAGAATCCAGTCTTCAGTTGATGAGCAAATGTGCTTCACTGTGAAAAGTGAAATCTTGCCCTGCAAGCACACCAATATATTACATTTTACATCTTCCCATTATTTCTTTAAAATCCATTCCTTTCCTGCTGCCTACCTTTCCCTCCTATTGCTTTAGTGAAGCTCTGTAAAATTAACCTTTCCTTTTTAATCCTCTGCCCTCTTTTTCTAACTGAACTCCTTATCTGTGTTTGAAAAGACAGCTATTTTATGATATTCAGGGCTTTATCCCTTGCTACAGTGGCCCAAGCACTGATGAAAAAGCACAGCATTTTAAGTCTCTGTAGTCTAGACTAATACCACTGCTGTCAGCAGGTCTGTTTCTTGGATATAAAAGATGAGAGAATGTTTTAAGCTTCATGGAAGTTGTGGTATGTTTCTGATACTTGCAGACTTTGTGTAACTTGGCTAGAAGTAAAATAGCAAGTCTGCTGCTATTTCCAAAGAAATCAAGTTTCAGAGGTGGGGAGAGAATTGGTCAGCATTAGCCTTGTGTTGCATGAGCAATTTCTGGGCAAGGAGCAATTCTTTTTTGGTTATCCGACTGTACCAGTGCTTTCAGTCATGTTAAGCATTTGCTCTGGTAAATCAGCATAAAAGAACGTGTTTAGTTTTCGTCAGTTTGGTCTTGCGTCTCTGAAATTCCCGGGAGAGTTTTGCATCTGTTTGACAACAGAAGGAATCTTTAGAAAATCACTTAAAGAAGCAACCATGGAGATGTAGAAGGTGCATGCAAAAGCTTTTGTAAAGTAAGAGTCGTTTACTGGTCATTAATTTTATGTATAAAATGAGAAAGTGACAGTTTTTATAGCTTTTTAAATGTAACGAGGTACAGGTTTTCAGGAAAGGTTGTATAATGTTATGCAAATGGTACATCATGTCAATAGGTTTAGATCTGTTCAGCATAACTGACAATCTTCAAATGTGATGAGGAAAAAAAAGTCATTTTTCCATCTCTTTGGATTTTATAGTAATAAAAAACACTTTTTTTCTTTCCAGTAAGGGGGGACAGTGATTCTAGCAGAAAGCAAGAAGCAAGCCTCCGTGACAGAATGTATGGTAGCTTTGTCTGCCCTTACAAATGTTGCTGCTTTAAGTATGCTCATATGGAAAGAAAGCTTAGTGCTATAAAATGCTTACAGTGATGTGGCTTATCCAGGTTTAGGAACTGTAAGAAGCTGTCATAGCAGAACCATGTTTTAGATTAGGCTCTCTGTGTCTCTACTAGTGTTTTTACCAGTGTAACAGTCAGCGAAGTATTGCATTCCTATACAAATAATGTAAAAGCATAGACCAGCACTGTGTTGTGCTTCCAGCATTTACAATTAACTGGATGCCATGTAAGCTGCTTGTCTCTGCAGACAGCAAATCATGTGCCTGTTTGAAGGTATGAAATGCTAAAAGGCCTCTAAAGTTGCGTAGTATTGTGAACTTCTGCACAAATTCATGCCTTTTCAGGTTAGAATTGCATCAAGATGGCCTTCCCTTTTGATGCATCATTGTATTGGTTTCTGAAGCAGGTTCCTTCCAGATTGCAG